GCCAATAAACTAGACAGTTTTTAGGTGGTTTTTAGACAGTTAACACGTTGTCAACTGGCAGTTTTTAAGCAGACTGTAAACTGGCAGTTAATGAGCAGTTAATTGCCCGTTTTTTTTCTCCTGGGTGATTACGTATGATAAGGTAAGGTAAAGCAGGGAGGTTAAGAAGAGATGGCATAAAATAACATAAGATAGAACAAAGAAAGGCAGAGACCACTTGAACGAGACGATTGTTGTTCTATGACTCCCTCTCAGGTGTCACCATCTCATCCTTCATCCCTCTAGAATGGTCCGAGTGAGAGCAGAAGATTTGGCTTCTAAAAGCAGTCAGAAAAGCCGCAGTTGTACCACAACCGGGGAAATGAAGCATACGGTAAAGACAAGCAAGTTACGGTAAAATAAGTGAGTTAAGAAAAGAGAAAATACTTTGAGGTTAAGTAAGATAAATGGAGGACAGAGAAGTTTGTATAAGATTGAGCGACGTTTTTGCAGGCTATTTGTTATTGTATGAATAGTTTACTTCAGGCCGAAAAAGTTAAAGAAAACGAAAATGGCGAGTCGAACGGATCTTCAAAGGAAACCATGGGGATCCAGTCTTGACTCATCGTTTGGAAATGAATTCATCACCAGTTGAAAATCGAATCGGTCACTTCAACAAGCCACAAGTTCGTCTCACTTTTGCTCGATTTGTCAATTTTGTTTTTCAGCTTGATGTCTCTTCGATCTCGAGCTTGGATCGTCGCCGATCGACTGTCTTACTGTAATATTAAAGGTAATCAGAATTCTCATCAACGTCACTTCAACATACAACATTACGGTGTAAGATGCACAGCTAGAGCGAAGAGTGACGAGTAAGATTCATTTGTCTTTCAGGTCGAGTCCCTTCTTCGAACACCGAGGAATCTCTCAGACAATGTTTGGCAAACATTGTCTGAGAGATTAATTTCCTAAAGCCAGTGATGTAGCACTCACGAATGGCTTTAGGAAATTTCATCGAACGGTAATTCCGTAGAAAAAACTGAAAGTAAACTTATATGTGGTGACTCAGTCTCATGCTGCGCACCCCATATACCCCACTTTTACGCATCTGAGCTGCCAATAAAACATTCGACACACCATGGCACACTCCTCATTGAGTATTAAGATAGAACTGTTCGCGCAGTCGTTGAAGACCGAAAGGAAGGGAAAACTTCAACAGCAAAGCTATTTCCTTTACCAGGTGAGGCATAATGATTGCACCTTCGAGTATTTTACAAATATCTCACCACAGATAAATCATATAATCTTGATTTTTTTCTTAAAATATGCGCCGTAACAAGTTCTACGAAACCTGTAAGAGCAGATCCCTATTGACCAGTTCTGATGGTGTTTCCTTGACCCAAAATAAACAGGTTACATGACGATGCTATGTCCCACGGTATTTAGCATAATAGAAATATGTGGAAGACTTTTTTATTTTGCAATAAGAATTTGTTCATACAACTTTGGTAGAGCTTTTTTCTAATCTCTGAATCAAGCGTCCCTATAATTCATCACTCTAATTGCTCTCTTTCTTCGTCCATTAAAATTTTTGCCAATTCTGTGGTATACGTAATATGTGGTGTCTATTCTGTAAAAAGTAATGTTCAATGCAATATAATGTTTTCTCTTTCTTTGTTATATCATATATTTTGTTTTCAGTTAACGCATGCACATATATTCAAGCATACATTTTATTCCTTTTTTTCTTTGCTCAAGTGGACGGATCTTCTTTCTTCTCTATTTATAAACTAGTCTGTGAAGATTTTGTTTTACTCTTTTTCATTTTTATATATATTCAAACTGTTTCATTGTTATATTCATTCTGCTTATAATAAATACATATTAAAGAGATACAATATCACTTTCATACCCATTGACGCAGGTTGATGATTTCTCTCTCTCGCAGCATATTTTGTTTAGCTTCTCCAGAACCCACTAGACACTGGTCTCGGCTTATTCATAGAGGCGTGAGACTGAACTCATTTCTCGTGATTACTAGTCGTTTTCAGCATCGGAGAGCTAACATCACTTCTTACGGTTATTACAATGTACTTAGTTTTTCTGACATTTTGTTGAACAATACAATTTATTTTTCTAGTCATGCGTATGGATGTGTTGTGGGTTACTAGAAAAATAACATCTGATCATCAAACTAATTAGCACATAGACAAACAGAAAAATATTATTGACCGAATATTCTGTAGACTTTTTTAAACCCGATCGACGATATTAAACTGCAATTTTGTATATTCTACCGCTTCATCTTTTCCTCTCTGACCTATTAAGACACGAAAAAAGTATTTTTTAGTTGTTGGAACCCGATCCATTTCGACCTCTGTTATATACCTTTATCACTGACAAAAAGCAATCAAAATGGTGCTTCGGAACCCCTCACGAGACTCTAAATTTGGAAAAATCCTTTATACTCACCCACCCTCATGCTTCCTCTAAGGTAGTAAATAGTGGAGTTGCGTTTTATTGCATCAGCTTTTATAGCTTTTTTTTTCTTTCGTTACAATGTCAACAGCCCTTTTTGTTTCATCATAAGATAAGATTTATTTTCAGTTGTAAACGTACTCTTTGTTTGACTATATATTTAACGCAGTATTGTTTTATAAACTTTAAAGAGTATATAGTTTTTTTATTAATTGTGTTGAGTAATAAAAAAAGGTTAACTGGAAATCACTACGTTTGTAGACTTACTCGGAAAGTTAAATTATTAACCAATTTCGACATTCTTTCTTTTAGATGACTTCCAATTATTCAAACGTTCTATTAGACAACTTGGACATTTTAGCTACTTGTGCCAGTGGTCTCTTTGCTGGTGCTTCACTTTACATTAATCTTGCACAAGTACCTTCTTTAAATGCTAGTTTAAGTACTGATGAACATTGGAAATATTTTCCATCAATGTTAAAATGTGCAGCACCAAGTCAATCTATCCTTGCATTTACAAGTGGAATATTCTCTTTAATGCATGCCTATCGTATGCCACAAAATTTTCCTAATATATGGTATACTGCTGGAATATTGATGTCTCTTATTGTGCCATATACATCTTTAGCTATTATGCCAACAAATAATTTGATTATGGATTCAGTAGATTCGACCAAGGCAACTACGAAGGTTTATACTTCAGCAGAAAAGAAGAAACATTTGGGAAAATGGGCTACTTTACAGTAAGTTAATCATTAACTACGTCTTGTCTTTCATCATTCTTTTCTAAATTTGAGATCTCTCGAAGAGATACAGTGGTGGAAGAAAATATTCACACGTCTAAATAGTTTTTTTAATAATAGCTGAGTGACTAAAATGAGTTTTTATGTTTTGAATATTAAAGATGAAAGTTCGAGAGTGCCTTTATTTATGGTGAAATTCTTATTAAGATTTGACTTTTCCTCTGAAAATTGTACAACCAATGAGGAAGTGAGCTTCCCTGAAGGACTACATGTCACAATCGTCTACATGTCACAATCATCGGTTGAATAGTGTAAGAATGTGTAGTGGCATTTTTGGATCTTACATGAGCTAAAGTAACATGTTCACCTTCGTGTGAGAGGGTTCTAAACGAGTGGAGCTCTAATTCGAGACCAACTCGATCAGTATTCAAGATCTCCTGAGGTTTATAGTGATTCATTTCTTGTTTTACATCGGGTAAAAAGAAGTCGGCAGACGCATTGATAGCATCCGCATCATCAAGATGATGACGACTCACAATGATAATCACTCAAAATTTCTGAAAATCACTCTCTGAAAAAGAGGCGCTTCGGGAGAATGCTTATAACTTTTGGATGAAAAGTGCTAGAGACCTGCGGTTTTCACCATTTGAAAGAGTAAATCATGGAACGTATTACAGATCAAAATTTAATTGGTCGACAGTCCACCAATCAGGTGAGTTCTTGCTGAATATTTTCACAAGTAAATTATTCGGCATCATCAAAAAACTATTTATACTTATGAATATTCTTTCCACATGGTATATACTGAATAACATATTTAAGGGCCATTTTTAATGAATATTTTAGTACACCTCGAACTGTAGCAACGTTGGCTGCGTTTGGATTAATGATCTACGGTTTAAAAAATAAATAGACACAGATAGCCACGTTCGAATGAGTTTTTCCTTACTTTACTTCATTTTATACTGTCTTACTAAAAATAAATACCTTAACTGTAATTTTTTCTCAATAAAATTAAACAAGTAACGCTGGTCGCCACGACTCGCTTCACCCTCGGCTAATCGTCTGTATGTCTAAATACTGGCTCGTCTTGCGAACATAATCACTGATATAAAAAGTACACCCACATGTTTCTTTGAATATTGTTCAAATGATCTGTAATGAGATAGTCAAGTTCGAGTTGTTAGTGTTGATACATAAAATCATCTCTAGTAGCTACAAACTACACAAAGCGTTAGTGAAATATGCGAAATATGAGTACTAAAAGGCTACATTATAATGAATACAACAGATATTAGTGAAACAGGCCAGCTATTAGTACTAAAACGTCAGGTTTAAGCGAATACACGCGGTATAAGCAAATTTTTCTATATATTTGAATTCCACGAGATTTTAGTAAAATACACGAGAGATTAGTGAAATACGCGAGATATTGGTACTAAAAGGTGAGATTATAGTGAATAAGCGAGATATTAGCACTAAAACGTGAGATTTTAATGAATACGCGGGATATTAGCCAAATACACGAGATATTATCACGAGATATTAGTGAATACACCAGATATCAGCAAATTTTTCTATATATTTAAATTCGACGAGATTTTAGTAATATACACGAGATATTGGTGAAATACGCGAGACATTAGTACTAAAAGCTCAGATATTAGTGAATACACGACAAATTAGCACATTTTTCTATATATTTGAATACCACGACTTATTAGTGAAACACACGACACATTAGTACTAAAATATGAGATTTTAATGAATACACGAGATACTAGTCTAATACGCAACATATTGGTACTAAAAGGTCATATTTAAGTGAGTACACGAGATATTAGCACTAAAAGGTGAGATCTTAATGAACTGACGAGATATTAACCAAATACGCGAGATATTAGTACTAAAAGGTGATCTATTAGCGATTACACGAGATATTAGTGAAAATCGCGAAATATTAGTCTAATACCCGAGATAGCAGTACACCAGATATTAGCAAGTTTTCTATATATTTGAATTCCACGAGATTTCGGTTAAATACACGAGACATTAGTGAAATACGCGAGATATTAGCACTTAGAGGTGAGATTTTAATGAATACACGGGATATTACTGAAAAACGCCAGATATTGCTAGTAAAAGATCAGATTTTAGTAAAATACACGAGCCATTAATCTAATACCCGAGATGCTAGTACTAACACGTGAGATTTCAGTGAACACACCAGATATTATCAAGTTTTCTACCTCAGGAAAGTTTCATGTTTATACGTTGTATGATTTAGAAGATATTTTTGTTATCATAGCGCTGAATTCACTTTAGGCCATAACGTATAGAATTAAACGCCACTGCATTTGTAAGTTGTTTTATAAAGAAGATATTATCTCCAATATTAATGTCTCCAACAGACATTAATAAGTCAACAGTACATATAATTTTATAAGGCAAAAATAATATTAAATTCATTTCAGTGATAATCGCCTGTCCGTTGTGGACATCCGAATGGACAAATAGAAAATAAGGGTGAGTCATTTTGCAAACCTATCTAGTCCTTTGCGTGATGAGCTGGAACCTCAGTTTTAGAGTCATTATATCCGCGTTAAATCCAGCTTTAAAAGTACGGTTCGATTTTTCTAAGATTTTGTTTTGTAGCTGAGAAAATTCATTTTTTTCCAGATCAGAGACGAACAAGCCGGAATTCTGCCCATACTTCTCAATTTTCTGCAATAGAACTCAACGTCCATCCGATAAAAATATCATATTCGGAATCAGGATGAAAAAACGAACCGACTGATCTGCATCTCTATCCTATCCGAGTACTTTGATTTACGTCGACAAATCATCGAGATTTTCATGAAAAAATGAAAATCAACGTAAACTTTTGAAACACACATCAGTCGATTCATCTTTTATCCTGATTCCGAATATGAGATTTTTATCGGATGGACGTTGAGTTCTATTGCAGAAAATTGAGAAGTATGGGCAGAATTCCGACTTGATCGTCTCTGATCTGGAAAAAAATGAATTTTCTCAGCTACAAAACGAAATCTTAAAAAAATCGAACCGTACTTTTAAAACTGGATTCAAGGCGGATATAATGACTCTAAAACTGAGGTTCCAGCTCATCACGCAAAGGACTAGATAGGTTTGCAAAATGACTCACCCTTATTTTCTATTTGTCCATTCGGATGTCCAGGCGATTATCTCTGAAATGGATCTAATATTATCTCTTTATTCAGTTTTCAATGCTGAATAAGAGAAAAATAATTGAAACGTTTGACTAAAAGCTCAAGTTGAGAAATAGAACGTTTTTCAAAATCGTGGGTTTTTCGAGTTTGAGGTCGTTCAAGTTTTCGACTTGAAAGAAAGGTTTCGAAAAACTACTTCGTGATCAACTCGAAAAACTCTATCGAATGGTGTATAATAAGTTTAGAAAAAAATTCTGCTCCCTTTTTGCAATATTTGCACCTTACAATTACTTCAACTGATTTCTAATGATGAAATAGATAAAGAAAATGGATATCGTATACAGAAAGTTTATTCCTATCGTTTAACATTATTGCCTGAAACACTGTCACAGGATAGAAGACGTGAAGTATTATGTCTGCTTGATGAGAACAATGAAAAATTATTTGGTTGATCAGTTAGTAGCAATTATTACGAAACTGAGTCTATTCAAAGAAGATTCTCTAGAATTATTGTACAATGAAGTAGTTATACAATTGTTTAAGCTCCCGTATGCCAAAAGGGGATTTTGGAAACTACACGTTCGATCTGAACGAAACTTACGGGAATCGTTGGTCATGTTCAGGATTAGGTATGATAAAGTTTTAAAGGCTATATCTGTTACCATTTAGCGGATATCGCTTGGTAGTCAGAATGGAGCGTTTAAAGATCACCAAATTTCTTCTCTCTGGTAGTAGTTAGAGAGTTGCTCTTATATTACTGAAATCTCATATAGGAGTGATGTGACAGAACTGATTTTCCGAGACTTTTTCTTCGTTTTTTTGAAAAACTGTTTTACCTAAAAAATCAGAAATCTTTTGTGGGAAACCATAAACGCAAAATAGTTTTCTTCTCTGAACTACTTCTGTTTTCACTTGTTTTGTTTCCTAAAAGTTTAGTGGAGTTCTCTGCTGGTTCTAATGCGCAAGTTCTAATGCACTTATGTGTTGTGTATGCATGTGTCTGAACGTTTTGGTCACAACAACATATTTTTAGCCTATAAAATATCCCATATGTACATTCCACAGAGCTATTTAGTAGTGAAAAACTATTAAAGTACGTTTTCAATCAAATCAACATTAATGCATTTAGAAGAGGACATTTGAGCTATCTTATCATCGTCACTTTATCCCTTTTCTCAAAATCGTCTTTTTTGACAAAAGGAGTCTTAACCCTTTCGGGACGGGTGACGTTTTAAAACGTCAAAAATCGGAATAAGCCGTGTTTTCCAAAACATTTCCTTTGAAGAAACGTCCCTCAAAATTCGATCATAATCAAATTTCAAATACATCATC